TTTTTATATGAACACATGCCTTCATATAAGCACCTGAGACACAGAAACAGGACATCCTCCTGCATCATAATAGTAGTCGAAGAAGAAGAAGTAGTAGTAGTAGTAGTAGTAGTACTAGTAGTACTAGTAGTCGTCGTCGTCGTCGTCGTCGTATCAGCAGTAGCAGTAGTATCAGCAGTGCTGGTGGTGGTGGTGGTGGTGGTGGTGGTGGCGGTGGTAATGGTAGTGCTTTTGGTTGCTGTTGCTGTTCCTGCATTGGGATGATGACCAGCAAAGTGAAAGCATCGGAAAAGCCGAGCACCCCTGCAGTCGCCCCGAGCCGGACTCCGCAGAGAAGTTGGCGCGGCCTCCGGGCAAGGCCTGAGTGTCGAATAGGGCTTTCGATTGAGTCATGTTTAGTAGGGCGAACGACATCTGCTGCAGCTATGGGGGCAGGCAAACGTGCCGTGCAGTGCCCGTAGAACCAAAGCTAGGACAGCTAGGATTTTGCAGGCAGTCCATTATTGCAATGCCGAGTTAGCCAGTTTGGCACAGCCTGCAATAAGGAAGCTCCTGCAAAACATATGCTTTGTGTGTCTTGGATGGGTTCCCGCATCGTCTCCCAGCCGAAGCCTGAAGGCAGATATGGCGCGTGCGGATGCAGCCCAGAATCAGAAGATCTCCACACCCGGGTGCCGCTCCGCTGCTGTCAGTGGCAGCCCAGAGGACAATCAGGGAGGTGAGTCAGGGCGTGAGGCCGCTTCGCTGCTTCCGCAGTGGAGCCTCGGCTGTTGAGAGAAACCCTGGATGTCGCAGCCGTGGCAGCCCTGCCGATAGCAACTGAGCCAGGACCATCTGCTGCCTTCTGCGCCTCGGCCAGATGTTGGTCAGATGAAAGGGGCAGCCATGCTAACGCGGTGGCCGAGCAAACTAGCAAGTAAGCAGGCCTCAGAAAATGGAACCCGCAACAAATGGCTGAGTTGCTCTGAACCCGAAGACGAGTGGGAAAACCCTTGCTCCCCAGAATCGTAAAAGCTTGAAAGGGGCCCTGCACGCTGCTCGAAGTCCGAACACAGCTCAGGCGCTAAACGCAGAGCAGGGTGAGTGAAGGTCGTCTCGATGTGCTCCTTGAGGGGAATGCTTGTCTCAGCCAATATGGCCATGTACGTCTCACAGCTACGAGCAGCAGAGATATGAGACACCTGTAGAAGAAGAGGCCACGAGAAACAGAAAGAAGCCTGTAAACTCAGGAAACCGAACCTCCGGAGACCTTGAGACGATGTTTCCCAAAGAGATCTTCCACCCTCGATCTCAAGCAACGCTCTCGAACCTTGCAAACGGCCTTTTCTGCGCCAAGCTCTCACCCAACACTGCTTGACTCAAAAGAAAACGACGAGACAAACGAGCACGAAGAAGCCACCACTTTGCGACTCCACGCCGCATCTAAGGGCCTGGTTCGTGACCTGGGCGCGCCATCGAAGCCCGGAAAAGGCGCTGCTTGGAAGAACCGCCCGGCTACTGAGCTTAGGTTCTGCTGTCACGTGCACGGCACCTGTGCCGGACCGTGTGGGAACGCAAGGGATAGTAATGTGGCTTCGCAGGTTCTAAACTCACAGATTCGTCTTCGAATTTTCAAGTTTTCTTCGGAGTGGTTTACAATGACAACCCTGTTCTCATGACAAAATGTGTGGGGCAGTGAACGTCTAACCGTCATCTGATGCATTATGACGACGATGATGATGATCGTCATGACTCATGACGATACCAACATCGATGCTGACGACGTTTATCACTCTAAGTCTGACCTTTTCGTGATCCCCAACGACTAGATCACTTAGATAACCCAACCTCCACACGCAAAATCGCGGCAGAAGAAGGCACCGAACGCAGCGCTCTGGAAAGGCAGTGTCACCACCAAACCTATAATGCAGGTCGCTTATCGAGAGAACAATAAGTTTGCAAAATGATTGCTGCGGGCACCGGCCAACGGTACTGCATGTGTTTACCTGAGTTTCATGCATGTGCCACCGCTTAACTACACAACCCTTGTGCAAGCACATCATCATACATGATCTCGCAGCGACACCGGCACCATCCTTTGTTATTTCGCCGCCTCTGTATCTGTGGAAGCAACATCCACGCAGCATTGCGCTCGAACCGGATCGCAGGTGCTCCAGCTCCAATCTACCGCATCTGAATCGGCTTGGTTGTGCCTGCCTGCACCGTGCAACACAGGAGTCTTTCTGCGAATGATTCGCATTGCTCCTCCATCCGAGAAGCTGGTGCCTAGCTGATCTAGTTGATGTGCAGGTGGGCTCTTAGTCGCCAAGCCTTAGGTATACTGTCTCGGCTTCAGGCACGTGGTGAACTTGACCACCACTCTACGTGATGTAGTAACTATGTAGTATTTTTGGAAAAGAAGTCTGGGCATCGCCGACAAACCCACTGCCAGGGCCTCACAGCCATGTCATGCCTGAACAGCTCCCGCTGTCTGGCTTGGCCTGGCCGAGTTTCGATTTTATGTTCAACCTGAATTGTGCTGGCTTGGAAAGCCTGCCGGCAAGACTTCGCAAGAGTGTCACAATCCTCGCAAGTGGAAGCAATCCAGATCCGTTGCTGGCTCGAAACCGTGTTTGAACGCATAGATCGGTGTTCCAACGCCATGATACTGTGTGATGCTTCCCTGCGCATCCTCTGTGCACTCAGTCTGCTTGGCAACATGCACGGTTGCAGTTCCGTCATGTCTTTGTTCAGGGATTTCGTATAAGGCCATTTGGACATGCAGTCATGTGTCGTATTTTTCAAGCCTATGTCAATGTCATAAGGACACCGTCGACATGAAAGACCAATTAGGTCCGATGTCCCTCCCCCTCGTGGAGTAAAAGATAGACATAGACTCTTTCTCTGTGTGGGTCCAGAGACGGGGCTGCAAGACTTTTAACCTTCAGAAAGGGGCACACACGCTGTGCGGTACAGTGCGGATGCTGGAGCAGGCAGGCACGAAGCACTTTGTTTTTTGTGAGAAGCTCCCAGAGCTGGCAGGCCTTGAGGTTCTAAGGTCTTTGACCGCAAGCGCCGGGATGACGGCCGAACTGACAGCATCCGGCTTAGCATGGCCCCCCAGTGCCCGCATTCTTTAACGGCGGCTGTAGTTTGCTTGGAACCTGTAGTGTCGTCCATGCGATTTCGGGTGCCTTTACAAGTCGTGTCCTTACAGATGACGGAGACAATCTTTGCATCGCTGCCGGACTTCACTCGGGCTCTTAGCTGCAGCTTCTGACTGCGCTGCATAGGACCCGCGTCATGCAGCACTGAGCACCTTGTTGGAGAGCCCACCCTTTGCAGGAACTTTTGCAGCGGCTACTACAAAAAGGGTGCAGTATGCTGTTGAGCTATTTATGTGTGCATGTGGAACAGCTGGCAAAGAACCGTGAAAGCTTTGTTGGAGAGAAGTTCCCGGCGCGATTTGGGCGCTCTCCGGATCTTTCCTCGTTGGGTCCACGTATCAATGGCTCGAAGCGGCGTAGAAAGGCCGTCCGGCCATCCAAAGACAGTATGGCAACACTGGCACCGCGTGCCAAGCGCTGCGAGCTCATTGGTTCGAGGGATTGGGCAGTCAGAATGACTGGCGAACAGGGAGCGGCAAGTGTGCTCGGAGTTCCTTTTCATTTCAACCTCCCGCTGCTTCGGAGTCCTCCCCAGTCAAGCCATGCGTAAGATCGGCACACGCCGGCATGGCTTTGGCAGGCGAGTCCCTGAATGCATCCTCTGGTGAGCGCGTCACGTAGGCTCCGCTCAGCACAAGTGTGTCGTGCCGGGCAATGAAGGCAACTAGTGGTTGTAGGGCATTAATAACTAGATGTGCACAGTCACACTTCGAGAATGAGAGTAACATCTACGTTTGAGAAACCTGGCAAACGGGTGGACACATGCAGCTGTGTGGAGTTCGTGGCGCGCAACACCACGATGCGCTTGTCGTCACTGCGAGATCACCATGAGCCTCTCCGGAGCTCATCGTGCCGCAGATTCAATGCCCGTTTATGCTGCCAGAGGCTGACTGCCAAGTGCTTGCAGTGTGTTGGAGAGACGAAGTTGCCACGCCGTGCCACTTCCATGACATCACTCGTGAACAAAAAACAGAACTATGGCAGCATAAACTGCACCGGCATCTCTCTGCTGCGACTGAACACGAAAAAGAACCCTTTTTGTGAACTTGGCGGCCTGCACTCGTCTCTTTTTGCTTCCGAGCAGCCCGGGCGTCGCTTCACTGAGGCCCAGAGCGAGGCACAGAACGCTTTAGCCCAGTGCCTGTCAGACTTCGAGGCAGGGCAGCCGCTGATCTGTTTGCGGGGTACATGGGCTCTTGGGGCCTTAAGTCTTGAGGGCTCAGGGCGCCCTGTCAGTTTCCCTTGACAAAGATGCGCAGCATCCACAGCTTCAGCTTTCAGGTGGTGCCAGAGCTGGTCCCCAAAGCTGCGGCCTTCTCGGTCTTCCGTGAGGTGGCGAAGACCGCCATCGTGCCGCGGGAAGTCCAGATGAAGGCGATGCTGACATGCTGGAATCTGGCAGCGTAACTCTGCGTCACGGCATCGCCCGTACGGAGGGATGTTATATATAGTCTGCGCCCAGGGCGGTTAAAACAAACTCTGACACAGCCATCGGGGGCCGGGGGCCTTCCTCTTGGACAGGTTGCTCCCGATGAAGTGGGCGAGTCTGGGCGTTTCTTCACGTGCCCCGCACATGTGCGTGTGTGTGTGTGTGTGTGTCGGTCAATGTTGAAGCATTCGCAAGGCTGAGCGAAGAGTCGTCGAGATCTGTACAGTGCCTGCCGAACGACTGATTACTTCATTACTTCGCTGTTGTATCTGGGGTTGGAGAGAGGTACAGCCACTTCGCTTGCAGCCTCGCAGTCACCGCACAGCGAGCTTTCGCAAGTGCAGGCCTGGGGCCTTGCATGGCCTTCATGAAAGCTATCGCCAGTCCACAAAAATCACGAGTAAGTGCCAAGACCCTCACCGTCACCACCATCACCGTCACCATCGCTACCACAATCAAACGCGTTATCATCGTTAGCATCATCACCACTACTACCACCACCACCATCAGAATCATCATCAGCATCATCAGCATCATAGCCATATGAAGATCGTTTGACAGTGATCGCGACCTCCGAGGTGCATCGTCGTTAGTGCGGCTGATGCAGTGGATGGATGCGTCCAAGGCACTGTTGGCGGAAGCGCCGTACTCGTATGATCCAGACATGCTCCGACGGTTATTCGTCGGCCAGGGCCGCGTTCTGTTCAGCCAGAACTTCCCCGGAACTGCTCCCAAAGGCTGCGCTGATCTGAGCTGTCGTACCTGTTACTGTCGTGGGACAGACTGGAACGGCCTGATTGTCCGATTCTCTAGGCAAATGGTTTGGCATCTTCAGGTGCCATCAGCCTCAAGGTCCTGCCCGAGATGGATAAACTTCCAGAGGCCACGTGAGCAAATGGGCAACCCCTCAAGGGTGAGGTCTTTGGCCTCTCAAGCAGGATGTGCAGCGAGATCTTGCCGCCGTGACGCTGAAACAGGCGACCGGCCAGGCGTGGGCATGAGTGAGCGAGCCTGGCAGCTCGTAGACATCGGCGCAACTCAGACAAGCTGATTTTGTGAAGTCTTACCCAGTCTTGTCGGGCGTGTTCTCACATTGGCCAAGCATGTGCAAACAGTTCACGAGTTCCATGACTCTAGGAAGGAAGCGCAGATACACAGGTACTGTAGTGATTGAAACTACGTAACTCTGCGCCAGGAGCCCGCGCAGTCAAGGCAGGAAGCACCTGCACCTGGTGAGGAGGTGGGCCTTTCTGGAATCCAATTTCACAAGTAGATTGGAGTCTGCAACATTTGCCGTCGGAGATTTGCCCGCCCTTGCTCAGTTTGTGCAAAAACACAACACGACTTCAGACTTCAGACTTACCCGGGATTCTGCGAGCTAGTGGGCCAGAAGAGGGTCCACCAAGAAGTACTTCCCCCTGAAGCCCTAAGCCCTTATCCCCACAACCCTAAATCCAGAAACCCTCAAGCCCCCAAATGCGAGATCCATAACTGCATAGACCCCAAAGCTTCTTCGGCACAGGTGGGGAGGCCACGGCGTTCGCGCTCCGTGACCAGCCTCACCCGTGAGCCGCGGGCGGCTGCGGCACCACTCCCGGCCCCTCGGTTTAGGGTTTAGGGTTTAGGGTTTAGGGTTTACATAGAAATCTGTAGAAACGCTAAATGCAGATAAATAAGATGCATGCGACACGGCAGAAGCCGAATCTGTAACGGTTCCACATCCCAAAACGCCGTGTTCCCACCACTCTCCCGAAGGGTTTCGCAGTGTCAATGGAAGCTCGAGAGCTCAAGATTCTCAACAACACGAGTGAAAACACCCCGCATGTACTGTAAGAAGGAGTTCAGCCCCTCATGTTCTCTGATTATACTATGTCTTTCGAACCCTCATGAACATCCTGCAGACTTTGCCATGGAATGCATGCAGGAACAGGACAGACTTGAGTTCTCTGAGACTCTGGCCCCCCAAATTTAGAGTAAACTTGTCCTGCCAAAATCTTGCTAGTCATCGTGGTTGAAGCCACTGCTGCACATCCTCATAAGCACCCAAAACAATCGCGGGCTCGCTTGGCTCGATGGTCCTGCTTACAGACATAATGATAAAGCAGGGACCATCGAAATCGTACGTAACAAACTCAGACTTTATATGCAGACTTTCTGGAAGCCTTCAGTTCAATTTCGCAATTCGTGCGACGATGTCAGGTTGTATTCATGAAGGGGTTTGAAAGAAGTGCTAAATATCGATCCGGAGCATTCTATGTTTTTGCGCGGAAAATAGTATGTACCATTGCAGGGGGTCGTTTTAACAGTGGGGGAAGAGACTGAAATTCTTGTCGGCCTCCGTGCCTGCCTGTCTGTTTGTCTGTCTGTCGGTCTGTCTGTGCACGCAAGTAAGTAAGCAAGCAATTATGTGCGTGTGTGTGTAGAAATGTATGGATGTGTGTGTGTGTGCGCATGTACGTACGTATGTATCTGTGCAGGTATGTGTGTTTGCGTATGTATGTATGTATGTATGTATGTATGTATGTATGTACGTACGTATGTATGTGTGTATGTGTGTATGTATGTATGTATGTATGTATGTATGTATGTATGTATGTATGTATGTATGTCACACGCAACTGAATAAACCAATATCCTACAGGTAGACATATTAACATGTGTATGGGCATATAGAACAAGTTTCAAGATGGTTGGATATGTATTCTACCAAAAGAGCTCCATATAGCCTTTCCTTTTGGCCCTAAGGAGTGGGCAAGACTGGAAATCCAGAAAACCTTCGGGCTGTCCCTGCACAGTTTGTTCTTTGCGGCTTGGTCCAGCCAAGCACATGCGAGATGAGTTGCTGAGTTGTTCTACCATAGCAAGGTCCTTTATCTACAGACCCAGACGAGCAACGCGTACCCGCTCCATGAAGCAGTCCAGATTGGTTTGCGTAAGTGGCGAGATCTGAAACCTGCACAACCTAGCTGATCTTGCCCGCCGGAGCTGTTACGATGAATCGAGCTCTTGATTCTTGAAGCCCGACCTGCCCCACCAAGTGTCTATGCTTGCCAGCGAATGAAAGCAGAGCAAGAGCGGAAACAGCATGCACTGCACCGGACATTCACTCAATGATCTTGCGCTCGAAGCACCGATGCAGAAATGGCAGGCACTATGCATCCCTTGGCGACCCACTAAATCGAAGCACCCTGACATCGCAGAAGTGCAGAGCTCAGTTCGGGTCTAGTCGTAGTCCCTCCTCGTCTGAACGACTTGCTTAAGTCCCCTTCGCCAGCCGAGGTTCGGTCGCTTCCTGCGAGACTGTGGCCTGCTAGCCATCGAGGACTGATGCCCGAGGGCACCGCGAGAGCTGCGAACACTGTGTACAACGCATCACAAGGTTCCGCACAGCACTGAAACCTGAAGCCGTCACCTCGCAAGGCCGACGGCCCAGTTTCCTTCGACTTCGCGCCGGAAGGCCCCACGCGTGGTAGTGGCAGGGACTCTCGCTTCTGCTGTCCTCACGTGAGCATCCCCAGCTTGTGCATTAGTGCGGAGAGGTCGCCGTGCCAGTGTGCGACGACCATCGAAATCAGGCCGAGTGTGGATGTTTGTTGTCTGCTGTGGGCACATAGATGCCAGCGCTAAAGTGCAGAAGCCGTACCAATTCCGTCCTAACGAAACAGTGTTTCAGGCAGGTCCAAAAGCTTTGGGGATTGTGGTGTTATGACGCGAGATGTCTCGTGAATGACGCATCTCCTTCCAGGCCAGGAGTCAGCCACGGGCCGGCACCTCATACTGTTCTTGCACTGTAAGGAAGGACCGTTGCAGCAGCATACGGTACTTGACTAATTTCCAAATTCGCTTTTTGCTGTTGCTTCTGTTAATGCTACTGCCATGTTTGTCGATGCGAAAAGTCACTGTTCCTTTTTTCCTCCCCGGTGCTGCTACCAATTCCCTTGGCGAGGCCTCGCCCGCTCGAACTCCGCCGGGGCGCTCCGCCGGAGTTCCTTCGGGGGCCGCACAGGCCCACGAGGCTCGCGTGGGGTTTGGGAAATTTTGGGAAGGCGCGGGCCCGGACATCCTTCTGCGCCAGGAAGCATCGGGCTCGGTGATGGTGCTGCGTCCGGGCCTTTTCTTCTGCATGGTCGTGTGCGCCATCATGCCACTTCAACTTGGACTCATTTGGGCTCCGAAAAGGTCTTCCTCTCGACGGGCCTCCTTTGCCGTCTCCTCTGCACAGGCGGAAGAGAATCGTCCTGACAGAAGGTTCTAATGATCTCATCACGACCTGGACATTGATTCATTTCGTGACTGATCACGGCTTGTTCGGGTCTGGGACTGCCCTCCGATCTCCGATGCTGGCGCAAAGACGAGTCCTGATGCAGCTTCCACGTGAATGCCATCTGTCCTTGACAGGCAGCACAGGCCAACGTGCAACTTCCTTTGAGGGCCTCTCTCTCGGCTGTCTTGCATGCGTCACCGCTTGCAAGCAAGTGTACAGTAGTCCCGGTACTTTAGCCCTCGCTTGTCCGACTGCAATCTTCATACTTATTCATCACCGACGTTCCAGGTTGTGTTACGGGAAAGCTATGGGCGTTTATTGTGTTTCTGTACGTACCTCTGATGCGAAATACTGTCCATATCGCTCCTCCTACCAAACACGATAGTTCAACTATCCGTAGAGTAGCATCTCTCCGGTGCTCTTTCTGTGTCTATGCCCACGATGCTATCGATATTTCATTGGCCTAACAGTTTTACGCGGAGACACACGTGCATGCTGTGGAGCAATCTGCTGAAAGACTCGGTTGATTGCTAAGTATATGCACTCAAACGCTCGTGCTACATGCAGAGCATTCTCGTGCTAGGGATTCCAAACACAACATGAAGCATCCCAGTGATAAGTGCACGAAAAGTTGGCGGTAGAGGAGAGGCTAGAGTGCTTAGAGTGCCATGGCAAGGTGTCTGCACTTGGCGTACATGTCTAAGCTGCAGACCGTCGACTATGAAGTGCAAGCATCGATCTCAAACCCCAATCCGAGAAACGAGTGCTCTTGTGCAGGACAGCAGTGCACACGTCAGGTCTTCCCGGTTCCGCCACTGACCCAAGTAGAGGTTGACCTGATCTTCGTGCAGGCAGAGACAGCGCGCAATGCGTGTGCTGAGTCGGAGTCCTGTTGTCGACCTTTCAGTCACCGGCCGGAGCGCGACTGAGCTTTCGTCTGCGAGCCGAGAGAGCGGAGAGGCTACCAGACCGGTGGACACCCCTGAACGCCGGAAGTCCGTCGTGCAGGCAGGTGATTTGGATGGGGCACCAGATCGTGTGTGCGTGTGTGTGTGTGTGTTGTGTGTGTGTGTGTGCGGCTGTGCGTGTCCTGGGTTGATGATATGCACATATCACAGCTACGACCAGCAAGAGGTTGCAGATACAAGTGACAAATATGGAGGAGTGAATCAAGTTGTCGTCTTGGCCTGCTTCTGCCGATGGCTGAGCATTTGCGAATTCGAGGCTGTTAAAATCAAGAGATATCAAGCGGATCATGCCAGCCAGATATTCTCAAGAGACTCCGAGCAACCTGAAAATCACAGGCATCCATGCACAGCCGTGCTAGACGCAGTTCAAGCTCGCCACAAGGGTATCCCTGTGTCGTCCTGGGCCATGGGGCAAAGTCATGCAGCTATCGTGCTTGCGGACTCCAGTCGACTGCAGCGCCGGCAGCTGCGTCAAAGCACAGGTACGACCAGCGAGCAGAGTGCCAGGCATGAGTCAGATCAGTTCATCAGTCAGATGGTATCACGACTTCAGGTGTCGGGCCCGTCGGGACACTGCATCCATAAGTCCAGAAAATTTCATGAAGCTCCGCAATGTCTGATGAGAGTCGGTGATGTTGGTCCGATCCAGCTAAGGTCGCAGATGCTAACTGGAAGCTGCAACAATGGCGCGGGGACATCAGCAGAAGCTTTGGCAAAAATTGACTAACTTAGAACATGATGCCAAAACTGAACCTCAAGATCTGAACAGTCAGAAACTCGGCAGCTGATTCTCTGCTTGAAGCGCCGCTACTCCAAGGAGACTACTTTGAGGAGGAGATCGTGCCACAATCCCCCCGGACCATCCTTCCCCTGGCAAGGATCGCGGCAAGGAGCCGCTGCCAGCGATGAGCTTCCTAAGTACCTGGCGCTGATGATTCAAACCTCCTGCGAGTCTCAGGGGCCACGGCTTCCTGTCCGGTGCAGAGTTGGCGGGCGTTGATGCTGCGCATGTCGATGCAGGGAAGGTGGCACGAGTAGTGCTACGCCACATCATGTAGAATCATGCAACATTCGTTGCTCTTGCATCACTTGCGAGCACTGCATGCAATTAGCACGGATGCCTCCGACGACGCTCCAACACTCTTTGACGGCTTGTGGCGAGGCCGGTGAAGCAAAGACTGTGGCGGTGGATGTTGCGCCCATACCAGGCTTGATTTTTCGAACATGCACTTCCTTCTCGTCTAGTGCTCTGCTCTGCTTTCAGCTGGACGCAGGATATGATCCCTCGTCGATTGCCGGCTGGCGTCTGCATCCGCCGTCTTCGGACCAGGCCGAGGCCATCAACCGGCTGTGGCCGCGTAACAGAACCCAGGAGCGTCCGACTGTCCTTGTTACCGTCTGGTCTGCATGTCACCTGTGGGTCTCTGGGCCCCTGGTATGCCCCGGCATAGCCCCGGCATAGCCCGGCGGCCCGGGGTCTGAGTCCAGGCAGAGGCCGCCTCGGACAGCGCCTTCCAGACTGCAGCCGTGGTCGAGCCCGACCCCATCTTTGATTCTGTGCCGCGGCCTGCACATGCCTGCACTCCTCAATTCTGCAGACCTTATATAGCCTTATATAGCCTTATGCCCATGATGGACAAGCAGTCGATTGAAACACCTCGGTGCCTTCAGGTCTTTCCAGAGAAACCCCTGCCTGGACGCCCACAGCACCAAATGGTGCCAAAGGATGTGGCTGCTGCGGGGCAGGTGCACGTGGGCGTGCAGCATCCTGGCAGCACGACGGCGGAGCTTTTGCTCTTCGGCCCCTCCTCGAGTAGACTTTTGGTTGAAAAAACGCGAGGACACGGCCAGAGGAGGTCGAGCTCCACGAAAGCAGCAACCAGCGCTTTGCGCGTGAAGCAGTTGCCAGGCTCAGAGATTGAAAAACACGGTAAGTTGTTGAGTCTGTCACACCTTTCTATGACAAGCAGTGACAGCCAGAGACAAGGGGCTGGGGGGAAGGCTTAGAGCATGTTAAAGCAGGGTCTGTGAGCAGCCGACAGGATTGGGCTGGTGCCGCTGACCATTTGTGATGCTGCCGCGTGCCCAGAATTCAGACTGCAACGATGCCAAGTGGAGCCTTGTCTGAAGCAACAGATGTTTTTACCACCATGGCCAACCCACTCAACGATACCCTGCAGTTGCCATTTTTCGGTGCAGTTGTGGGTAGTCTAGCTGCAGCTTTCTAATCTGAGTTGTTGACGCTAAGGACTGTCCATGTCCCCGGGAAACATCCATGCATGCGAATCATAGCTTGCCGACGTCTTCCAGGCGGAAAGTTGCTGGCGATGTGATGTAGTCGTGACAAATCATAGCTTGAGCAGATGCGATGACAGTGGTACGGCCGTAAACCACATCGTGCTGAGGGAGTTGATTCGAGGTAATTTTGCGCACTTATCAGTTCGCACTAGAGTCACTAGATACTAGCTGAAGGTCTTGTATGCTTGTTGGCCGCTTGCGCAAATACCACCACCACCGCCACCGCCACCACGACCACGACCGCCGCCGCCGCCGCCACCGCCGCAACCACAACCACAGCCACAACGACAACGTCAACGTGAACATATCTACTCGTAACAGGAGCAACAGCAACAATACCAATAAGAGCAACACATCAACTTCACTGAGGAACTCTTGCCACATTTCAAAGCGATCGAAGAAAGTTATGTCCTGACTCCTGTACCCTGTACTCTTTAAAGCCAAAGCCCGGTGAACTACACTAGCACAACCACTGACTATTGTCGCGATTGGCCCGCAAGTGAGCTTCAAGGCCCAGACTGCTGCGTACAACTCTGCGCGTTGTGAGGAAGGATCAGTTCCCGGAAGCACACACGCCTTCAAGAAAACACCTGGTGCGATGACTGCTGCTGCTGCGGAAACTCGCAGCGCACGCCACCGCTCGTGGTAGGCGTAGGCTGACCCATCCACGAAAACTGCGCCATCAGCTGACACTCGATTGTTTGTCGGCGGCAAATGTGTGAGCGAGTGCTCGTCACGTCGGGTTCGGGCGATGTCAAGAAGATGCCGGTCGACCACGTAAGCGAACGCTTTGAGCCGCGAGCTGGCCTCGTTTGTTCGTACAAAAAGGGAAATGCTTTAGATGCTCATGATCTTCTCTGCTTGCGCCACATGGGCAGGATTCTGTGTCACATAACCCGGCCTCTTTTGAACGAGGGCCTGTGTAAACCGCCCCAGAAACAACGGCTTCAAGGATCGCCTTCGTGTGACAATTATCTTGGGGATGTCGTTGCAGAAAAGGCTGGAGAAATTCAAAATCTGAATGTGCTCGGAAATCGCTGTCGCAAAGGAACCGTGTCAGAAGCCGCTCAATGCCTGGCACGTTTTCTTCCGCATGTTTTTAACTGCTTGTTTGAGCAACACCCTTCTGAAATGGTACTCCAGGATCTCACGAACAAAAACTGGTTACTTCCTGCAGCTAGCACAAGAGAACCGCGAGTAGCAGAATCAACCGCTAGCCAGGCTTACCGGATCAGGAATACTTGCACTCAACTCTCGGCACAAGAAGGCAAATACTGATGCTGCTCCGTTAGATGCCTGTTTGACAGGACCTTTTGCAAGAAGCAGCTTCGCTTTGTGAAGAACATCAACTGCGAGAGCCACATGCATCTGAGCAAACCTACGTCGTTTAAAAAAGAGGAGGAAGCCACTTACCAAAAGGGTCAATGAAAGGGTAGAGGTGGGTCGCCAATGCGAGGAAAAGACATCTAACACGGTCTTTCAAACACAGCAGCAACCGAGGGCCTTATGTTGTGCATAGCTCGCCGACTTGGTGCTTGAACCTCGGAACCATGAACCCACTCAGAGTGAGCCGCAGTATGAACGTAAAGACCCTTACACCAACGACTACTGTAACAGGCAACATCTTAATTTTGCACAGACTGTCACAAGCACGGGAGGCTCGCAGGTTTTGCCTAGCCACGCCGCTTTTGGAGGTACACGATTGCGAAAGCCCCAATGACTTCATGCCTAAGCGTTGCCCCACATGCTTGAGAAACCGCTCCTTTTTGCTCTTTGCCTTGTAAGTAAAGAATACTTCGTAGGGTTTGCTACTTGTCCTATCTCATTGTCGAAACATTTGGCTGCAACAAAAGCGGTAGTCAGCTCGTTTTGGCAGGCTTCTGATGTCCACATCTTGGCATCGTCCAAAAGAGCTGAAAGTTACTCTGGGAGCTTTGTCTTGAACATGGCTAGCAAACATGGAAGAAATCGTATTGACCCTGAAAATGGAAAGGGAGCGCCCTTGCACTGCTGAGTTCGAAGACAACACACATCTGCCGAAGGCATTCCCAGCTTGAACAGCTTAATTTGGCTAGAGTAAACCCCAAAGCAGCACGGTACACTTGTTCGAGCAAGCCCATTCGTCTAGCGATGCCAACGGCAACTTGAGGAATGAGCATATCATAACATTTAAAACGATCCAAGAAAATTGCTAAGGTGTCTGAAGCATCACTATGCAAGCGCATGGGTAAAACCCACGAAAGCACAGACAGTAGCAATAACAATAAGAACATGAACAATAACAAGACTATAATTATAACAACAATAGGACTACTTGCAACAACAACAGCAGTAGCAGCAACAACAGCGAAACACAACAACAGCACCAACAACAAATAACAACAAGAACAACAATGACCCCAAGAACTTCAAAAACTGCAAGAGCGACTAGAATAACAACACCAACAACAACGACAGCTGCAACAGCAGCAGCGACAGCAGCAGCAGCAGCAGCAGCAGCAGCAGCAGCAGCAGCAGCAGCAGCAGCAGCACCACTGGCAGCAGCCGCAGCAGCAACGGCAA